ACAACATTTTTAGGATAGATTCGTATGAATAGAATATGTATTCTTTGGTTTAGATTGGTTTGGTTTATTTTGTTTTACGGTATATCAACCTCAATGGGTTATTTAATGCCGACAACATTTTGAGGATAGATTCGTATGAATAGAATATGTATTTTTTGGTTTAGATTGGTTTGGTTTATTTTTGTTTTACGGCATATCAACCTCAATGGGTTATTTAATGCCGACAACATTTTTTGCCGAAGATAAATTCGTATGAATAGAATATGTATTCTTTGGTTTAGATTGGTTTGGTTTATTTTGTTTTACGGTATATCAACCTCAATGGGTTATTTAATGCCGACAACATTTTGAGGATAGATTCGTATGAATAGAATATGTATTTTTTGGTTTAGATTGGTTTGGTTTATTTTGTTTTATATCGGCATATCAACCTCAATGGGTTATTTAATGCCGACAACATTTTTTGGTTTATTTTGTTTTTACGATAGATTTAATGCGTTTTATGAATAGAATATGTATTCTTTGGTTTAGATTGGTTTGGTTTATTTTGTTTTACGGTATATCAACCTCAATGGGTTATTTAATGCCGACAACATTTTGAGGATAGATTCGTATGAATAGAATATGTATTTTTTGGTTTAGATTGGTTTGGTTTATTTTGTTTTACGGCATATCAACCTCAAGGGTTATTTAATGCCGACAACATTTTTAGGATAGATTCGTATGAATAGAATATGTATTCTTTGGTTTAGATTGGTTTGGTTTATTTTGTTTTACGGTATATCAACCTCAATGGGTTATTTAATGCCGACAACATTTTTGAGGATAGATTCGTATGAATAGAATATGTATTTTTTGGTTTAGATTGGTTTGGTTTATTTTGTTTTACGGCATATCAACCTCAAGGGTTATTTAATGCCGACAACATTTTTTTTGTTTAGGATAGATTCATATGAATAGAATATGTATTCTTTGGTTTAGATTGGTTTGGTTTATTTTGTTTTACGGTATATCAACCTCAATGGGTTATTTAATGCCGACAACATTTTGAGGATAGATTCGTATGAATAGAATATGTATTTTTTTGGTTTAGATTGGTTTGGTTTATTTTGTTTTACGGCATATCAACCTCAAAGGGTTATTTAATGCCGACAACATTTTATTTTGTTTTAGGATAGATTTAATGCCGACAACATTTTGATGAATAGAATATGTATTTTTTTTGGTTTAGATTGGTTTGGTTTATTTTGTTTTACGGTATATCAACCTCAATGGGTTATTTAATGCCGACAACATTTTTGAGGATAGATTCGTATGAATAGAATATGTATTTTTTTGGTTTTTAGTTTGGTTTATTTTGTTTTACGGTATTTTGTTTTACGGGATAGATCCTCAATAGAATATGTTTTTTTAGGGTTTGGATTTTGTTTAATTTGTTTTTGACGCCATATCAACATTTTTTAGGGATAAATTCGTATGAATAGAATATCTATTCTTTGGTTTAGATTGGTTTGGTTTATTTTGTTTTTACGGTATATCAACCTCAATGGGTTATTTAATGCCGACAACATTTTGAGGATAGATTCGTATGAATAGAATATGTATTTTTTGGTTTAGATTGGTTTGGTTTATTTTGTTTTACGGCATATCATCCTCAAGGGTTATTTAATGCCGACAACATTTTTAGGATAAATTCGTATGAATAGAATATGTATTCTTTGGTTTAGATTGGTTTGGTTTATTTTGTTTTACGGTATATCAACCTCAATGGGTTATTTAATGCCGACAACATTTTTAGGATAGATTCGTATGAATAGAATATGTATTCTTTGGTTTAGATTGGTTTGGTTTATTTTGTTTAACGGCATATCAACCTCAATGGGTTATTTAATGCCGACGACATTTTTAGGATAGATTCGTATGAATAGAATATGTATTCTTTGGTTTAGATTGGTTTGGTTTATTTTGTTTTTTGACGTATATCAACCTCAATGGGTTATTTAATGCCGACAACATTTTGAGGATAGATTCGTATGAATAGAATATGTATTTTTTGGTTTAGATTGGTTTGGTTTATTTTGTTTTACGGCATATCATCCTCAAGGGTTATTTAATGCCGACAACATTTTTAGGATAAATTCGTATGAATAGAATATGTATTCTTTGGTTTAGATTGGTTTGGTTTATTTTGTTTAACGGTATATCAACCTCAATGGGTTATTTAATGCCGACAGCATTTTTATGATAGATTCGTATGAATAGAATATGTATTTTTTGGTTTAGATTGGTTTGGTTTATTTTGTTTTACGGTATATCAACCTCAATGGGTTATTTAATGCCGACAACATTTTTATGATAGATTCGTATGAATAGAATATGTATTTTTTGGTTTAGATTGGTTTGGTTTATTTTGTTTTACGGTATATCAACCTCAATGGGTTATTTAATGCCGACTACATTTTTAGGATAGATTCGTATGAATAGAATATGTATTCTTTGGTTTAGATTGGTTTGGTTTATTTTGTTTTACGGCATATCAACCTGAATGGGTTATTTAATGCTGACAACATTTTTTAGGATAGATTCGTATGAATAGAATATGTATTTTTTGGTTTAGATTGGTTTGGTTTATTTTGTTTTACGGTATATCAACCTCAATGGGTTATTTAATGCCGACTACATTTTTATAGCTGGTCATATTTTTTTCAAAGAATGTACAGTTGTTTGTATTGCTAGTACTTTCTTTTTAAAGTATTGCTGATAATTTTTCCTTAAAAAATTATTGCTGGTAATATATTTTTATTACAAAGTATTTCTGGTATTAAAACCTATTTTTACACAAGTTTAGGTGTCAACTATTTGCCCATTGCTGGGACCCTAACAGGTACTACCACCCCGGGTCAGGATGGACCTGGGAACGCCAGCAATTAAGAGGTAGCTCCACGCTCCTCAAAACCTCCTGATCAGAAGCCTTGCTGTTGGACGTAGTTTATCGTCATACCCAGGATGCCGGATGTAGTTTATCGTCATACCCAGGACAGTATGTTGTTTAGTCCTTTTTTCTTCTTTTCCTATAACTACCTTCTGTAGGAGTTCCCGTATTTTCCTTTCTATACCTGCTATCAACACTGTGTCATCTGCATATCTAATGTTAAGATTGTAACTGCTAATAATGAGACAGGTAGTACTTCTAATTCTTTCAGAATTGCCTCGCTGTTATGATTAAGTCCAGTGAGAAGACACATCCTTGTCTTACACCCTGTTCTTTTTTTATGTATTTAGCTGAATTCATTTTCTATCCATATGCAAGTATTTTGCTCCCAGTATAAGTTCTAGTTTCTTCCCAAATAAAGCTGACCTAGCAGTTCAAATAGTTCTTCGTGATATACTTTATCAAAGGCTTCTGCATCATCTACATCCTTTTGCATTATTCCAACATCTTTTCCAAATAGACCGAACAGTTCAAATAGATCCTTGTGCTTCTGGCTATTTAAAATGTTTATTTCTACAATTTTTAAAATCAGACCCATTTCACTACGTCCTTTCGCAATCTTCTTCTATGTGCCGTGTCCCTTCAGGTCGATCATGTCTCTCCACAACTTCTTATCTCTCATAGCAACGTTTGCCTCTCGCCCCTGTTCAACCATTCATATACACAGGCTAACCAGGTAAGTGACCCGTTGCCTTTCCCGGTCTCACTTGCTCTCGATATGTGCTGTATCAACTTCTCCAGACCCTCCTTCCTCAAGAAATTTCAGTTGTCTCTTCCTGGTTCTATACAGAAGTCTTTTTTATCGCCATTTTCCTTAAGGCCTCTACGTTGCATACCCGTTGCGTCCATGGAATTCTCAGTATCTTTATGTAGAACCTTCCACAATAGAGGATATAAATTTAAATCAGCCCTATAATATTTAAACACTGGTTATAGTCGCTATCTCCAACAATCTGTTTGTTGTCACTGATTTTACAAATAGATGAATGAAAATATAAAGGAAAAAATAAGATTGTAGAGCGCCGGTGTTTTAAAAAGGTGGATCTGCTTGCCTTAAAATACAGTATTGAAAATGCTGACCTTGGCACGGACATGAACATTAATGTTACGAATCAGAGACAAATTTGTTAATGATTCAGCTTCTATATTTTCCAAGTACTATCGTTTTTAATGACAGTAAAGATAAGATTGTGCAGCGCCGGTGTTCTAAGAAAATGGAGCTTCCCGGCTTAAAAACCAGAATTCAAAATGCTGAACTTGACTCGAACTGGAACCTTGATGTTATGCATCAGAGACAAATTTGTTAATGTTTCAGCCGCTATATTTTCCAAATGCTATGATTCATGTCATTCTTAATGACAGGAAAAAATGCAGACTCCTCTTTTAATTCTTAAGTCTCCGTTCTATTCTATTGTCTGCGACTCTTCCTGATTCAGTAGCATTTGGTCATGCCACGCGCTGCTCGTCATGGAAGCAAGTCATGTTTAATGACTGGAAATGTATTTGCCGCCAAAACAGAGTGAACTGGGGACGGGGAAAGGGGGCTGTATTTATAGCGAGGTGAGGCGGAAGATATTGTGGTAGGATAGGAAGGAAGGGCAATAGAAAATTAAATCAAGAAGAAATGGGATGGATGGGATCAAGATATTGATAAAAGAAAGAAAGAAAGAAAGAAAGAAAGAAAGAAAGAAAGAAAGAAAGAAAGAGGATAGATACGAAGACAGTTTGTAAAGTGAACAAAAAGAAAGGAAGAATAACGAGATATATGAATGAAGTAAAGAAAACGAGATAAACGAAAGAAAGAAAGAAAGAAAGAAAGAGAGAGAAAATGAAAAGCGAATATAACAAATAAAGAAATAACGTTAATTATGACAAAGAATGAAATGAAATAACGAGACATGACGAAAGGAAATAAAAGAAATAAGTGAATGAATAAGATAGGATCAAAGAAAGAAAATAGAGTAAAAGAAAGAAAGAAAGAAAGAAAGAAAGAAAGAAGGAAAAGGAATTAATGCAAAGATAAATTATTAAAAGATGCAGAAATAATAAAGAAAAACCGAAAAAAGGAGGCGTTTTGAAAATGGTTACAAAACTCGAAAGGAAGAATTTTACGAAAATATAAGTTTGAAAGATAGAAAGTAGGATTAACCGAAAGAATATCAAAGGGATGCGTGAAAGAATATAAAGTTGATGAAGAAGAAAAATAGGAGTAAAAAGATTTTTTCAAACAATAGCAAAGAAAGTATAAGAAAAAAGTGTAACGATGAGAAAGAAAAAGAAAGAACGAAAACAAGATAGAAGAAAAACAGAAAAACAATATATAAGAAAGAAAGAAAGAAAGAAAGAAAGAAAACAATATATAAGAAAAATATAAGAAAAATGACTGAACGAAAAAAAAACTATACAAGAAAAAATAATGAAAACGAGAAAGAAAGAAAAAGAAAACAAGATATAAGAAAGAAAGAAAGAAAGAAAGAAAGAAAGAAAGAAAGAAAGAAAGAAAACATAGCTATAAGAAAAAAGAAAGACTAATAATGAGATATAGAAGATTGAAAGATACTAACAAAGAAAACGAGATATAAGAAAAAAGAAAGAATCAAAACGGGATAGAAGAAAGACAGAAAAACAATATATGAGAAAGAAAGAAAGAAAGAAAGAAAGAAAGAAAGAAAGAAAGAAAGAAAGAAAGAAAGAAAGAAAATGATATCAGAAAAAAAGAAGGAAACAAAATATTGGAGAGTAAAAAAATTGAAGAGGGTAAAATATAAAAGCGAACATTGAAATAGAAAGTGAATATCCCAACCGCCTGAAAAATAAAAGGTCATTCTGTACCACATATTAAACGCCTTCCATCGTCTTCAGCAAGGATATTCTGCTGCCTTAATGCAGCTTTTAATTTCGATCAAACATAGCAACTCTTTATAGACTTAATATGGCACCGTTTGTGTCGTTAGTAAAGCGGTCCGAACATTTTGAAACATTGAAGTCAAATGAACATGGCAGAGCGGCGTAAATATTGCCATCAATTCAATGGCTTCTTGATCAGGATCGGGAATAGCTATCATGTTGAAGGATGTTGCAATCGGTTTACTAAACTATATATTTACGAGAATCGTGCGATCTTCATACATCCTTGTGGATAATGGTACAGTATATTAGGACACTTCTTCATGTTTTCTGTGACACTAACTTAGGAATAAAATAGAAATATTTTTTTTAAATTTTTGAATAAGATAACAAAACGGAAAAGAAAGTATATGAAAGGAGAAAGAAAAAAGAAAAATTTTGAAAAGGATAAAATACATTTTTTTTTTAAATGAATAAAACAAAAAAGCTAACTGAGTATGAAATATTAAGTTCGAAATAAAAAATAAAAAATAGTTTACGCGCCCTTGTGTGGTGGTGAATTATTTTCCACCCTTTGCAAAAGACGAAATATCGTAAGACACCAGCTACTCTATAGCGATTTCCAAAAAAATCTTTTGTCGACCTATATTCCTTAACTCCCCTAGTTCAGAACTTTACAGCTATACACTGGGACGAATCATCCTCATCTTCTTCGTATTCTGCTAGTAAGAATAAAGTTCATTTCGGACAGCTTCTTCTCAAATAAGGATATTCTGAGAAAGAGACTCCTAAGAGAATGTTTCCCAGGATCACTACAATCTTAACATTTTCAAGCTTAGAGTCAACCATTATATTATCTTATATAGCTTAATAAGCTACAGTAATTAGCGCCTTCTCTTGCTATCATAAAACAACCTAATTCAGTAATTCTCTATCTTGATTGGCTCTTGGGTGAATAATAATAAAAAAGAATAAACAAAAAAAACTATTTCTGCACATTTGTCTTGCCATCATTTTATATATGTGTCTGTGTATAATTGAATGACAAAACGGAGCAAATTTTATGTTACACGTTTCATCTTCTGAAGGGAACTAAATAAAGTTCTTTTACATGTGGAGGTAGCAAAAGTACAGAGACGATTAACTTAAAATTTAAAATGTCGGCGCTCGATGTATCTAAATGTACAAACTGGCAGGCTACTTTCAGCTTTCTACCGCTTTTCTTTTTGCTTTTATCGCTGTCATTTTTTAAATACTATTAGTCTGATTTATAGAGTTTGCATATCATATATAACCATATGTGTTTGTGTAGTACAATCCAGATAAGAATTAAATGGGAGGGGAGACTGGGTATTCTAGCCTTTAATGACAACCAGCCTAAGAAAAGAAAAATTCGGAACTCCAACCTGTGGAGAAGGTAACTAGAAAGCACTCCACTAACTCTTGCAAGAATTTATGATAATTCACAAAGAATAAAGAAAAGGAATCTGTAGAAAAGGCAAAGGGAAACTACTCCACTATCTTTCCCAAGATACCATGGCAATTTGCAGATAATAAAGAAAAGGAATCTGTAGAAAATGTAATGAAAAACTACTCCACTATCTTTCCCAAGATGTCATGGCAATTTACAGATAATAAAGAAAAGGAATCTATAGAAAAGGCAATGGGAAACTACTCCACTATCTTTCCCAAGATGTCATGGCAATTTACAGATAATAAAGAAAAGGAATCTATAGAAAAGGCAATGGAAAACTACTCCACTATCTTTCCCAAGATGTCATGGCAATTTACAGATAATAAAGAAAAGGAATCTATAGAAAAGGCAATGGGAAACTACTCCACTATCTTTCCCAAGATGTCATGGCAATTTACAGATAATAAAGAAATAGGAATCTATAGAAAAGGCAATTACAGATAATAAAGAAAACTATAGAAAAGCAATCCACTATCTTTCCCAAGATGTCATGGCAATTTACAGATAATAAAGAAAAGGAATCTATAGAAAAGGCAATGGAAAACTACTCCACTATCTTTCCCAAGATGTCATGGCAATTTACAGATAATAAAGAAAAAAGGAATCTATAGAAAAGGCAATGGGAAACTACTCCACTATCTTTCCCAAGATGTCATGGCAATTTACAGATAATAAAGAAAAGGAATCTATAGAAAAGGCAATGGAAAACTACTCCACTATCTTTCCCAAGATGTCATGGCAATTTACAGATAATAAAGAAAAGGAATCTATAGAAAAGGCAATGGAAAACTACTCCACTATCTTTCCCAAGATGTCATGGCAATTTACAGATAATAAAAGAAATAGAAAAGAATCTATAGAAAATGGCAATGGAAAAAAAAAAAGGAATCTATAGAAAAGGCAATGGAAAAACACTATCTTTCCCAAGATGTCATGGCAATTTACAGATAATAAAGAAAAGGAATCTATAGAAAAGGCAATGGGAAACTACTCCACTATCTTTCCCAAGATGTCATGGCAATTTACAGATAATAAAGAAAAGGAATCTATAGAAAAGGCAATGGAAAACTACTCCACTATCTTTCCCAAGATGTCATGGCAATTTACAGATAATAAAGAAAAGGAATCTATAGAAAAGGCAATGGAAAACTACTCCACTATCTTTCCCAAGATGTCATGGCAATTTACATATAATAAAGAAAAGGAATCTATAGAAAAGGCAATGGGAAACTACTCCACTATCTTTCCCAAGATGTCATGGCAATTTACAGATAATAAAGAAAAGGAATCTATAGAAAAGGCAATGGAAAACTAAGATGTCATGGCAATCCACTATCTTTCCCAAGATGTCATGGCAATTTACAGATAATAAAGAAAAGGAATCTATAGAAAAGGCAATGGAAAACTACTCCACTATCTTTCCCAAGATATTGAATGATTCGTTTTCTACGGTTTATCAACCTTTTGCAGGTCATTTAATTCCAGAATATAAATTTATATTATAGATTATATTAAACTTATTAACCCATAGCTGGATGGTGAAGTGTATTTGCTCATAAGGGCATATAAAAAAATATAATACCATTCCCAAGAGAATTTCTGCGTAAGTGAATATAACGAACCCAACGAGAATTGGAACTCGGCTCTCCGATTAAAAAATTCCTAGTCATTATCCATTACACCATCGGCATATCCGAGCGGACAGCCGCTGGTATTCCCAAGTGGTCACCCATCTAGGTACTGACCAGGCTCGACGTTGCTTAACTGTTGTGATCGTGCGGGGGGAGGAAGAAGAAGAAGAAGAAGAAGAAGAAGAAGAAGAAGAAGAAGAAGAATGATGATGATAGAGAAGTTTAGCTTATTTAATTGAAACTTCGTAGAAACATTTTCCTGATCGTAAAATGCAGATAGATAGATAAAAAATGTTACCAGCAATAAAAATCTTGTGGGCATTAAATAAGCCATAAAACGAAACCAATATATACTGAGATAGATAGATAGATAGATAGATAGATAGATAGATAGATAGATAGATAGATGTTGGGTTATATCACGTCAAATATAAACCCCAGAAGACAAAAACCACACTGGTGTCAAAAAGGTAGACGCATGCCCGTTTTATAAGTCTATAAGTAACACCACCCTATAACCTCTCTCTCACAGACGGGATATAGCTACCTCCTTAGATCCACCAGTTCTAACCACGGCTAGGACCGCCATGCTACACATATTGTAGCAAGCCACCCTCATTCCCTCCGTATTTCAGTGGCGAGATACTAACAAACCACTGCTCTGTAGAACCGAATCCCAAGAGGATATTTCCCCAGTCACTAAAATCTGTATCATTCTACCTTAAGTGGAATCTCGCTGTAAAAACAAAACAAAAAGGATGGTGGTCTTTTTGCGGAATCTTACACTTCGTGAGGGATTCACTACAAAAAAAAGCCCTACAGGAGTTAATGAAGGATAGCGACAAGAAAGGATTAAAAATCAACGGCAAGAAGACCGAATGCATGGTTGTTAGCAAAAGGATGATCACAAAATGAAAATTACACATCGGAGATACCAAAATCAAAATCTATTTAATTGTTTAAACAGAGGACGGAAAAAGCGACTCTGAAATCCGAAGGCGTATAGATTCCAAAAATAGATTCCAAAAACTAAACAGAAAAATTTCATCAAAAACAAACAGAAATACGGAACTGTTACGTGATTTCTGTCCTGATGTATGGCAGTGAATGCGGGGCTATCTCCTCAATTTTGGTTCTACAGAAGGATGCTGAAGATACCATGGACCGAATATGTGAGCAACGACGAAGTTTTAGAGAAAATAGAAACAAAAAGTAAATTCATACATGACATCAGGAAGCAACAGTTGAAATTTCTAGTTTACATAATGAGGAAAGAGAGCTTGGAAAATATGATACTGACAGGACAGATGGAATGCAAAACGGGCAGAGGAAAACAATGCATAATATACTTAGAGAGTTTGAATAAATGCATGGAGAAACAAGGTTTAGGAAAAATAACAAAAAGGCAAAATTTACTAGGAGCTACAAAGGACAGGAAATTGTGGAGAGCCATAATCGCCCATTTCTGAGAGAACACGGCACATAAAGAATAGGGGATTTAGTTGGCGTTTTCTAAGTCCAGCAAATAGATAGATAGATAGATAGATAGATAGATAGATATTAAGAGGCTTAGATAGATAGATAGATAGATAGATAGATAGATAGATAGATACTAACTGACTGAGATAGATACTAACAGACTGAGATAGATAGATAGATAGATAGATAGATAGATAGATAGATAGATAGATATTAAGAGGCTTAGATAGATAGATAGATAGATAGATAGATAGATAGATAGATAGATAGATGCTAACTGACTGAGATAGATACTAACAGATTGAGATAGATAGATAGATAGATAGATAGATAGATAGATAGATAGATAGATAGATAGATACATTTGGTATTGTAACGTGTTAGTTGTCATCATCTCTATAGTTAATCTAAAAATTAAGTATAATTATAAAATTCGTATCAGAATCCAGTCATTAAACTTTTTTGTAATGCCAACGAATACTCGTTGTCACTTTCGTAATGCTCATTGTAGTAGAGACTTTGTAATCAACTATAGTAACACCGTTGAACAATACTGGTGTCAGATGCCTTCAAATAGTACTCGCACTAATAGTACTTTCTCAATAATACTCGCTCGAATAGTAATCCGTATAGTGATCCGAGAAGAGAAATAATACAGTAATAGAGTAGAGAATAGCGGTCCGTATAGTAATAGAGGATAGAACAGAAATGCAGATCCGTATAGTAATAGAGGATAGACTAGGAATAACGATTCATTAGACGCCAAGCTAATTCCTACTTATGCGTTTCCTCTACGGTCACGTGGTCTACTTAATTCAATAATGGGATCGCCTGTGTTTGCTCACTGGCGATCGATGTTCAAACTCAAGTGTCGGCAGCGACACTTTATTCCTATATAACAGTTTTAAAAATGTGTCGACTGCTTTTTGGGTATGAACATTGTATTTCAGAGAATCCATCTTGCTTGAATTTCCGGCCCACATAATTCATTTTCAAATACCCAACCAAATACAAACGTACATCATCTATCATGTAGGTTTCAATAGAAAATGATGGGACGACACTGACTTTTTCCCCACCATACGGATTTATAGACAAGAGAAACGAATGGCTCGCGTAATAATGACGCTAAATATCGTCCCAATCTAAGTGTTCAATGAAAATGCAGTTTTTATCCTCAATGGAGAAGAGTGTATGCAATTTCAATAATAACTTGTCAAGTAGGTTCAATTGACTAATCGGCTGTAAGAATTGTTTTGTTTTTTGCTATTTATACTTTAAGTATTGCTGTATATATAATAAGTGAATCAGGCACAGTGGAGTAATGGATAGCGGCTCGGATTGAGGAATCAGAGAGCCGAGTTCGAATTCCAGTCGAATCCATTATATTCATATACGTGCTAATACCCTTGGGAAGGTATGAATCCTTTTCTTCTAAAGCTACGGGTAAATAGCAGGAAAGAGCGGGTTCTATAGTCTTGGATAGCAACTGGTCTACCGCAGAAAGAAATAGCAACCTACTGCGGGAAAAAATCTGTATCGAAAGATACATGATCGCCTACGCGTGTATCACGCATGGCACATAACTGACTGAATCTCAGCTAACGCTGTCAGTTGGGATTGTGACGTCCGGATAGGGGGACAAACGATGACGATGACTGTCATCACACGAAGAACTTTATCACGATAAACCAAGAAATGCACCATTCTTTTCTTTCTGCGCCAGGTTTTTGCATTAAATTCTTGGTCCCTAAACTAATGTTCATGACGCAAGGAGGAGGAGAAGAAGAAGAAAAAGTTGGCGTGGAAGTTTAACAAACCATTACTGTTATGTTTTTGGGGCTTGAGTGTGTGTTTCCCAATTGTGGCTCTGGGCCTGAATAAGCTAAACCAATAAAGAAAAGAGGAGGAGGATTTCGGTTTAGCAGAAAAATGTGTCTAGTTCTTCAGAATTCCAGAAGCAGCAGTTAGACATGAAGCAGTTGTCTCATGTAAAAATGGAACGCCAGCAGAAGAATTTTAGTTAAAAGAAGAAATACTAGCTTGAAAAGAGAAGTAAGAGGAGAGAAAAAAAACAGAAAGAAGGAAAATGAGAAAGAAGTAAAGGAAGAAAAAATAGCAGAAATAAAAGAGGAGGTTAAAAAAAAAGAAATACTAACCTGAAAAAAGATGTAAAAAGAAAGAAAGAAAAAAAGAGAGAATGAAGAAAAAAGAAAAAGGAAAAGAAGAAACCATTAAAGGAAGAAATAGTAACTCGAAAAGAGATGTAAAGGAAAAAAAAGAAAAAAAGAAAGAAGGAAAATGAGAAAGAAGAAAAGGAAGAAAAAATAGCAGAAATAAGAGAAGAGATAAAAAGAAAGAAATACTAACCTGAAAAAAGAAAGGAAAAAAGAGAGATTTAAAGGAAAGAAAAGAAAAAAGATAGTGTTATAACGCGCTTCGTGGCGCTTATATTATTCAGTAATGCTTCGACTACTTGCTGTGACGTTTTTATTAATTAGACTGAAGACTAACTCCATTGGCTTCTTTGCCCTCTTACCTCTGTCATGGAGCTCTGTATTTATAGTTTGGGACTAATTCATATAGTCACCGTGCGTGTACTATTTACTCAACAACATCCCCACTTTTGAGATTAATACTTTTTTTTTAATATTTCATTTTTTTATTAACATTAGTATCTCCCCCTCCTCTTTCTGGAGAGTTTGCCAACATACTCGACTTTGTAGCGTTTCCGTCTCGGATCCCCTTCCAATTCTTCAGTATGCTTTCTTTTTCTGGAATTTTTCCTTGTAGGTGCCCCGACTTGTTGGTGCTGGCACGTCGAAAACATCATATAACATTTTAATCGGTTCTTCTAATGTTCCAGGTCAATTAACCTTTTGTTCAGCTGACTGTGGTGCTTTTTATGCTCACATCTTTTCCCTTTTACCATGTAAATCAACATTTTTTTAATGATTTCACTCCAAGCAAGGTGGGAATGCTACTAGTACACAGAGGATTACACAGCATGATAGTGAGAGAAAAGACTGGGTATAAGAAAAGAATAAGAGATGAACGGTATTCAAGAAGACGAAAGATGGCGATTGACGTTGCATTTAGATTTTTGAAGACTGTAGTTTTCAGGGAAGTTCCACAGGCTGGAAGTGCGAGAAAAACTGTTGGAGTAGAAATAGCTGTTACATTTAACTATCTCGACAGTAAAAGGGTGGGACTTAGATGTGATAGGGGCTCCCCAACGTAGTTGCCATACAAATATTTGGAGAAAAGAAAGAGAAGCCACATTACGTCTCTGAGAAGGTGACTGAAGTTGAGATGCCGAGTCAAGATCGATTACATTTCAGCTCCTTCTTTGGATTTTGTCAAGAATCTCGAGGCGAATAACACTAGCACCAAACCAGACATGGCAACAGTATTCAAACACGATTTTTTTTTCTTTACATACACTGATGGTGCAATCCATTTTGAATGGTTAATTTTTCTATTACACTAATTCTTTCGAGTCTCTCCAAATCTTCGTTGACTTGTTCCAAATCTGCGAATGGTACGCTCCGTTTCGACTTAAATACTGGCGTCGAACCATTTTTTACTTGAAAATCCGTCTTGAATTTTAAACACCGCCGACTCCGCACATTTGACAAAACATCTGGAAAACATTTTATTAACACTTTCTTGAGATTTTCGCTCTGACTTTTTAAATTGGTCGCTTGTCCACTTACGTTCTTACAATAAACGTTTATCAGCAAATCAAATAGTTCCATCCAGTCAGTAGCGAATAAATTTGTAGAATTTTTTAATAGATAAGCTTTAGTTTTTATATGCTTATGACGGAATAAGACATTACAAGTCATTTCTTTAAAAAAAAAATAATTTTTCACGAGAAACTGAAATCGCGACTTTGGAAGTCTTTTTTAATAAAGGTTTCCAATTCCCTTCCATGTGGTTTCACTGATTATCGAAGTATCACTACCAGTGTCCAGTAGCATTTTCACACCCACATTTATTTTCACATTCACAAATTTCGTTTTATTTTCTGAGACCATTTTTTTTCTGTCGCAATGCTATGTACAGATTTCTTTCTTTAAAATTTTTTTCTTGGTTTGGTTTTGCAATTTGACTTTATATGTCCGCTTACCGCACTTGTAACATTCTGCTGTTTTAAATGGACAGTCTTTTTCTAGATGTAATTCATCACATGTGAAATAAGGATTTATTCTCCCTTTTGTACGTTTGTCCTTTGCCTGTACCAATGCACATTCTTTTTTCTGAATTTCTTCGGCATTGTGTTTCAAACTATTTCGTCCACTATTTCTTGCAATGTAATATTACTGTTTTGGGGGTTTAGGTTTTTTTTTTAAATTTTGGTTAAAAGTTTCGCTCGTATTTCAGCATCTTTTTTTTAACTGTTAAACCTTGCATTTCACATTCTTTGTTGACAACACCTGCATATGTGACAAAATCTTCACCCTCTTTTTGGTTAGATTCATGCATCTCCAACGAGCATTAAATAGGGAGCTCTTGTCACTAAATATTTTCGTCAGAATGTCTACCGTGTCTTCAGACCCGATTTCACCTGTAATTTTTTTTTCGATAATATGTAGTTACAGTTTTTTATACTCTATCGGTGCTATTTTCCTCAACAACAATCTCGTTTTTCTTTCCTGTTCCCAGCCGCTGCATTCCTGACTGAATATTTTTTCATATGCACGAACAATCAATCCTCTTATCAGGATTGTATGCAAATTTTGATGTGGCGTTTTGGACAACGTCTGGCGTAAAAGATGTTGCTGACTTTGTTTGTTTTTTTTTTCTTTCTTTTTTTGTATTCTTCAGAATTATATACAACAATTCCTGATGCTATTTTTGTAGTTCTAGCAACTTTGATTTTGATGTTGTTACCTTTTCTGTTGTTGTTGAATTTCAACTATCGAAGCCAAAATTTGCTCCATATTCGCAAGAATGTTTTTTCCTACACTCAAGAAATGTTTTTTTCTACACGACAAGAAAAGAAAAATTTTAAAACCAAAGTGGTTAAAATTCTTGTCGTTACACGTACCCTTGCTCCCAAAGCCACAAATATATTTTTCTCGTGGTTGCTCACTGAGTATGAGGTTCCAAAATCCTTGTAACTCTACTTACAACCCGTATGATTTCCTGAATCCCCGTCACAACGGTTATAAATCGCCTGAGTTTCGAATCCCTCGTCGCCACTGTTAACACGCGATTCGTAACGCTTATAATATAAGTAATGCTTTGGCTACTTGCCGTGACGCCTGTATTAATTAGTCTGAAGACTGATTCCAAACGGCTTCTTTTCCCTCTTACCGCTGATTGGAACTGCTTATTTATAGCTATGGACTAGTTCATATAGTCAACCGGGGGTGGGGGATTCTATTTACTCCACAACTGAAAGAATCAAAGAAAAGAAGAAAGAAGAAACAATAAAAGAAAGAAATACTAAGAGATGTAAAAGGTAAGATGAGAAAAAAAAAACAAAGAAGGAAATGGACAAAGGAAAAGGAAAAAGAAAAAAAGCGGAAGAAACTTAGCAGAGATAAAAGACGGTTGAAGAAAATAAAGAAGAAAAAGTAGAAAAGAATAAATATTAGCAAATCAAAAGGAAATCAAGGCCAAATGAAATAAAAGAAAAAGAATATAAATCATTGTTATGGGACCATACCTATAATAACATAATGGACTATTCCATACGTAATAAACACTGCGCCTCAAGAGGAAGCAGGGAGTTCAACCTGAAGTCGGACGCCCGGCTGATCGGTTGAACTCTGTGCCTTCGTCGGGGAGGAACCCGAACGAGGCTACGCCGAAGGGCGGAATCTCTTTCGGGGAGGTAAACCGACTCTGAACCCGTTTATACGGGTTCAAAGGGCATATTTTTGGCCGATCCCACGGGCTCGGAGATCCCACGTTAAACCGGCCTTGTGCCACATGATGCCCTCGTGGGGGGGGGGACTAAATACCGTTCAGTCTGAAGTCTGGAGTGAGGTCCGTCAGGAGACTGTCAGTCAGTCAGAGCGAGCGAGTCAGTCAGTCGAGTCAGATGCAGTCCGAAACAGAGTCGCGTTCAAACAATTACTACAAGACATTGGAATAGTGATACTGGTCGAGACTACATTGTTCTCCCTACTAAATCTGATTGTTCATACAAACACTTTCTACTTCTCTGTATATATTCCTGTTTGTAATATATCTGTGTTATTCGATATCCGTGTTCGAGTTCTTATTTATTGGTTCTACCTTGGTCCATCACCGTGGTACAAGGACCTGGACTCTAACAATCATGATGAAAGAAAAAAGAAGGAAAAATAGAATGAAAAAAGAAGAAAATTTTTTTAAAAAAATTAAAGAAGGGAGAACAAAGACATAAAACAAAATGTGCGCAAATCAATGCAAAACGATAAAAAAGGAACAAATCGATAAACTGAAATGTAAATAAATAAAAAAAAGCGACAACAGAAACATAAAGCAGAAAGAAAATATGAAAAAGAAACGAGAAAGAAAGAAATCTGTAAACAAATGAAGCAACCGAAAGAAAGAAAAAAGAATTGAATGAAAGAGATTGTAAATATAGACCCCCCGCCGCCACGAAAATAGAAAGAAAATAAATAAAAAACAGAATGACATGTCGATCGAATTCTTCGTATCACTCCTTTTGCTGTGTGAAGGTTTAGACAAACAGGAATTGAACAAACAAGTTAATGGCGTTCGAGTTCGTTTGAAATAGAGAAGAATTCGTATGATCTATAGGTATATGGTGATTTTCTAAGCTGTGGCACAAAGCTGAAATTTTCTTAGATGTGGCACAAAGCTGAAATTATGAAGATCGAACTCACTAATAAATCGTAATTTTTCGAGAGACAAGCTTGCTAACCATTTCACGTCGAGGTACCCTAATTGATTTTCTAAGCGTAGCTTAGATGTGGCACTAGTCCGAAAGTATGGAGCGCCCAATGAAGACCGAACTCACTACTAAGGTGTAATGATTCTAGCAAGCTTACTAACTACTACACAACGTAGAGGTACCCAATGGTAGTTTTCTAAGTACAGCATAAGGTCGAAAGTATGAGGTACCCTGTGAGCATCGAAGTGAAGAGACAAGCTTGCAAACCATTACACGTCGGGGTGCCAGATAAGGTGATTTTCTAAGCGTAGCTTATATTTGGCACAAGGCCGAAAGTATGGGGTACCCAGTGAGTATCGAATTCACTACTCAGTTGTAATTGATCTAGCGAGACACGCTTGTTAACCATTACACCACAAGCTTGGTAACCTTTACACCAAATGTATTGGTATATGTATGTAAAAAGAGAAGAAAAGGAGAAAGTGTGTGTGTGTGTGTGTGTGTGTGTAAATGAATTTTTGAAGAGAGGAAACTGAGTATTTATTCATAAATATATGTCCGCGCCCCTTTTTTTTCTTTTTTTTTTTGCTATTTGCTCTTTCCCTCAGAGTCATTTCTTTACTTTTCTTTTTTTTCTTCTTTTTATTATCTTGAAGCAATTTTCTCTAATCAAAATGGCGTCGTTCCACTTGTGGGAACTGATTTGATCAGATTAGTAAACGTTTGCACCGGCGGCTTTCTATGCTAAATAAAATCGATAGAACCATAAAACAGCTTTCAGTAAAAAATAAAAAATAAAAATGCTACAATCAGCCCGACCCCTACAAGGAGGCTAAACTTCTTTACGTACCACTAATCTCCACCATTCATTATGTATAGTCATTCTAATTCCTCGCAGACCCAGAAACTCAAATCTGATTTACTCAACTACAACTCAAGGAGCAATTGCAAATAACATATAAAAAGACATCTACCAAAATATAGCCACCCACTTGTAGACTGTCACTGAATGGATTTATTTCATTCAATTCATGAAGATAGCTTAAATTGTCTTTGTGTCATCTTACTGGAAGAAGCAAAAGTGGTTTCAATAGCGATTTTTTGTTTTTCTAAAATTAAATCACATATACCGGGTGTCCCCAAAGTTCGGACACACAGACAAAATGCATATTTTGAGAAAAATGAAATTTTCAACATTTTATTAAATTAGAATATTAACAATAATTTCAATATGATTTCCATCATTTTTGATGCAAAGTTTGAAGCGCTTTGCAAGACTCACGTGAATTCGACGCAATAACTCCACATTGCCGTCAATTTTAGAACATTCACTCTTTATGCATTCATTCAAGTGTGTTGCACCTGTGATTTTCATTGAGTACACCTTCTCCTTTAAGATACCCCAGAAAAAGAAGTCGGTTCTTTCTTCTTTCAACAAAACTATGTTTAATCTGTGGAAGTAAAAAAAATATAATTAATGCGATTTCCTATGTGTCCAGACTTTTAGGGACACCCTGTATATGTGTGCGTGTATGTGAGTGTGTGTGTGCGAGAGAGAGAGAGAGAGAGAGAGATCGTACTTTAAATGTCCTTGACCAAGAATGGATTAGAAAAAATAAAAATGAAACGTTTGGTTATTTCGTCAGATTCTGGGAAGCAGGTCGGGTCGAGAATTTTTAAGTATACTCTCACTCCCACCACACACACAAATACATATATATATATATATATATATATATATATATATATATATATATATAGATAGATAGATAGATATATATATAGATATATATATAGAGAGAGAGAGAGGATAATTAATCATATATATATATGATTAATTATCCCCCCCTTTAGTCGTTTGAATAAATTTTTATCCCCCCCCCGGTGTTGTTTTTCTTGCGTTTTTTCTTCTTTTTTTTTTTTTTTGATCACGTGGTATGATTTTGATTATCGCCTATAAATATGCTGTTTCTCTTTTGCCTCTTTAGCCAGCTTTCCCTGACGATCCGTTTAGGTAAAACCTGGGTAGGTTTGTCTGGCTCACTAGGTTTATCTAGGTCTGCTCTACGGTTGTATTGAACTCTTTTTAGTTAGTTGTTTACTCGTGTCAGGGTTTTTTTTCTTTGGGCTTTGAACCTGTATCTGGGCGATTTTTACGGAAGACATTCATGTTTCTCTGCTCTTTTTAAAACCTTTTTTTTCTTCGTGATTTATTTGATTATTGGCAAATCAAAAATTCGAAGGTTTTTCGAAGCGAGTATAGTTACCTATATATATATATATATATATATATATATATATATATATATATATATATGAACAAATATAGTTTTAAGGTGTGCCATATATATATATATATATATATATGTTTGTTTGTATGTGTATCTGTGTAAGAGTAACAGTGTATTTGCGCAACAATCTCTCTTTTATATGTTTCTTTATTTCTGCTCTTAATTTTGGAGACAGTTGTTATTTTATTAACTCCAAAAAAGATGGCACTTTTCATTATGCAAGAAATACTTAATAAATGCCTAAATAAAAGTTGTCAGTTTGAGACACCCTCTCTCTCTCTCTCTCTCTCTCTCTCTCTCTCTCTCTCTCTCTCTCTGTCTATATATATATATATATATATATATATATATATATATATATATATATGGTGTGTCAAAAATACTTTTGCAAAGTTTGGGAGCGGGTTCCTCACACCAAAACATAGTAGAATGTCCATATCAACAGATGTCCAAACTCAACAAATGTTCAAAATGTCATCCGCTGGCTTCTACGCACATATGCACCCGTCGGATCATTGACTGGTGAACCCTTTCAAATACGCCCACACGATGTCGAATGGTTTCGCAGACCCCCATGACACGTTGATGAAGCGTCTCTGCATTATTAATGCCTGTTGCATAATCCAATTGTTTTAGGTGGCCCCACAGACAAAAATCCAAAGGATTGAGATCAGTGGAATATATATATATATATATATATATATATATATATATATATATATATATAAAAATATCTGGAAAAACAATACAAAATCCTTAAAATGCGATTATGTTGTTTTAATATGAATTCATATTAAAACAACATAATCGCATTTTAAGGATTTTTGTATTGTTTTTCCAGATATTTTCTTCATTCTGTCAGATTTATATCCATTTATATTTGCTTATCATATATATATATATTTATATATATATATATATGTGTGTGTGTGTGTGTGTGTGTGTGTGTGTGCGTGCGTTTAGGCAGAATACATTCATTCAAACACGTTTCATTGAATAATATAGACATATTGTGTCTACTTATTTTTATACTGATGTTTTACAATTCTCTAATCAGATTCTTCATGTTAAGATTAAATTAATCAAGAACTTCATCAAGGAAGGCGTATGAATATAGCAACTTAAAGTCCATATAACATTTATATATTAATGCTATTTTTTAGATTTCTAACAATTCCCGGTCAGCGACCTTGGACTGAATCTCTTGTTTTGTAAAAAGATTTCCATAACTGCAACGGATAAATTTATAAATTATAAAATAAATATAACAGACAGCGTTCGCGCATGTTTTTGAAAGTAACTATGACAACGGAATGCAGCTTTTATCGCAGTTACAATAAGTTTGTCTTTGTAATTTACCCCTGGAGATCATCTTCGAAAAGGTCGAAAGTACTTGAGTTAAAAGAAAAACTATGGCGCCTTCCTTGATGTATTTCATCTTGAGATGAAGAAACTGGAAAGGATCTGTATAGAAATAAGTAGACAATATGTCTATTTTATTCAATGAAACAGGTGTGTATGTTATGTGCGTTTGAAATAATATATATATATATATATATATATATATATATATATATATATATGTATGTATGTATATATATATATTTTATATATTCTTTTTATAGATACAAATATTTAAGTAAATGTTCTGTTTATAATAAACAGTATTAATAATATATATATATATATATATATATATATATATATATATATATATGATAAATAAATATTCATATTGTCTTTTTTCATATTGAATAAAATGAATTAATATTGTCTTTTTTATAGATATATTTTATTTATATCTGAATTTTGCATATATATATATATATATATATATATATATATATATTGTGTGTGTGTGTGTGTTAAAGCATTGTGTGTATTGATGTTTATGAAAGAGCACTGGTTGGATATTTTTTATTCTTCTTATCTATATTTTTCCTTGTCTTCTTGACATTTCCTCTTTCTTCAGGCTTGATGTCTCGTGAAAAGGTTTATTTTTCATAACTCTACTTTTGTTTCCTGAAAATGTTTCTCGCAACAACGAAGCATTCCCAGCGGCGGGTATTCCCATCACTATTTCTTTTCTCGACATGTCTTTTTGTCTGTTTTTTGTAGGTTTTTTTTAGGAGGTTATTTATTCTTCCCCATCGATTGGCTTAAAGGGATTTGATTGTTTTTTTGTTTTTTAGATTTATTTTTCGCGCCCTTGACGAGACTCATTTCGCGCCATTTTGCTTTAGGACAGCGGCCATTACACAAAATAAAGTTATCTGATGGACGCAAGTCAAGCTCTGGGACCGATTCTAATTTCGTTACTTTCTTTCTGGTAAGCTACAATTAGCTGAGATTGAATGCACAATACATCTATAGAGGGTCTACCCACAAGACTGCACATGCGATTTGGCGTTCTCATCAGTATTGCTCAGCTGAATTCCTGACATCATAAACAAGTATGTTCAACTCTCTGTAAATGTATTCTTACTTGATAC